TTTTGACTCAGGCCGTTTTAGCTGAGGCGACTTGTAGAGCCAGCTTGTCGACCGTGCGAGCTCGGCTCGGCCCTACCCGCGCCATGGCCCAACGCGCCTCACTCGGGGCTGCCGCTGGCCTTGCGGCCGCCGCTTGCTTGAAGCACGGCCAATCCTTCGTGTCCTCGCAGGTTCCGACTCGCGCCGCCCTCGAGGAGACGCTGCAGGCTTCCCCTGCGGAGGCGGCCCCCGCCCTCCGCGGCGCCGCGCACGCCCAGCAGCCCAGCCCCACGGGGGGAGCGGCAGCCCTGGCCGCGCCGGCGGCCGCCGCCGCCCTCGCCGCGGCGGTCGGGTCCAAGCGCCGCGGTCGCGCCAGCAAGCTGGCGGCCGGCCAGGCCTCGTGCGTTGTCCCGGTCCATTCGCGCGCCAGCGTGGCCCGCCGGGCCCTGGACCAGTCGAGCCGCTACGCGGACCTCTCGCTGACGGAGGAGGACCTGATCAAGAACGGCCAGCACGTGCTGGTGGCCTACATCATGAAGCCCAAGGCGGGCTACGACTACCTGGCCACTGCGGCGCATTTCGCGGCGGAGTCCTCTACGGGCACGAACGTGAACGTGTGCACCACCGACGACTTCACAAAGACTGTGGATGCCCTCGTGTACTACATCGATCCTGAGAACGAGGAGATGAAGATCGCCTACCCGACGGCTTTGTTCGATCGCAACATCACTGATGGCCGCGCGATGATGTGTTCCGTGCTGACCTTGAGCATCGGGAACAACCAGGGTATGGGCGACGCGTTCACTACGGGATGATTAGATATGTTACTTGCCCCCGCTAGTACCTGCGCCTGTTCAGACGGGGCCGTCGTGCTGCGTTATCGACATATTGTGGCGCATCCTGGGCCGCAGGCACGGTCGGCGGTGGCCTGGTGGTCGGCACAATTATCAAGCCCAAGCTGGGCTTGCAGCCGAAGCCCTTCGGCCAGGCGTGCTATGGCTTCTGGCAGGGCGGCGACTTCATCAAGAACGATGAGCCGCAGGGCAACCAGACGTTCTGCCAGATGAACGAATGCATCCCCGAAGTCGTGAAGGCCATGCGCGCGGCCCAGGAGGAAACGGGCCAGGGCAAGCTGTTCTCCGCCAACATTACGGCGGATGACCCGAACGAGATGATCGCACGTGCCAAGTACATCTTGAACCAGATGGGCCCGATGGCGGAGAATTGCGCCTTCTTGGTCGACGGCTACGTGGCTGGCGGCACTGCGGTGACCGTTGCGCGCCGCAACTTCCCGAAGCAATTCCTGCACTACCACCGCGCAGGCCACGGCGCAGTGACCAGCCCGCAGACGCAGCGCGGGTACACCGCCTTCGTGCACACCAAGTTGTCGCGCGTCATCGGTGCCAGCGGCATCCACACGGGCACGATGAGCTTTGGCAAGATGGAGGGCGACGCTTCGGACAAGAACATCGGCTTCATGCTGCAAGATGACGTCGCCGATGGTCCCTACTACCGCCAGGAGTGGGAGGGCATGAAGCAGACCACTCCAATCATCTCGGGTGGCATGAACGCCTTGCGGCTGCCTGCGTTCTTCGAGAACCTGGGCCACTCGAACGTTATCCTGACGGCCGGCGGCGGGGCCTTCGGGCACAAGGATGGGCCGAAGCAGGGCGCTATCTCGTGCGCCCAGGGCGAGGAGTCGTGGAAGTTGTGGAAGGCAGGCACCTACGGCGACGTGAGCCTGTCGGACGGCGTCGTCGAGTACGCGAAGACGCACGAGGAGCTCAAGGGCGCGTTCTTGACGTTCCAGAAGGATGCGGACCAGATCTACCCAGGCTGGAAGGAGAAGCTCGGCTACACGGGCGAGTCCTCCGTCCAGGCGGCCAGCTTCAATTGGCAGAAGAAGGATTTGGCCGCGGCGTTCGTTGGCGCCAGCAAGGCTCGCACAGCGAGCTCTGTGACCCGACGGGGCCTGGACCAGTCGAGCCGCTACGCGGACCTCTCGCTGACGGAGGAGGACCTGATCAAGAACGGCCAGCACGTGCTGGTGGCCTACATCATGAAGCCCAAGGCGGGCTACGACTACCTGGCCACTGCGGCGCACTTCGCGGCGGAGTCCTCTACGGGCACGAACGTGAACGTGTGCACCACCGATGATTTCACTAAAACGGTGGATGCTCTCGTGTACTACATCGACCCTGAGAACGAGGAGATGAAGATTGCCTACCCGACGGCTTTGTTCGATCGCAACATCACTGATGGCCGCGCGATGATGTGTTCCGTGCTGACCTTGAGCATCGGGAACAACCAGGGTATGGGCGACGTCGACTACGGGAAGATCTATGATATTTACTTTCCGCCGCAGTACCTGCGCCTGTTCGACGGGCCGTCGTGCTGCGTGATCGACATGTGGCGCATCCTGGCCGCGGCACGGTCGGCGGTGGCCTGGTGGTCGGCACAATTATCAAGCCCAAGCTGGGGCTTGCAGCCGAAGCCCTTCGGCCAGGCGTGCTATGGCTTCTGGCAGGGCGGCGACTTCATCAAGAACGATGAGCCGCAGGGCAACCAGACGTTCTGCCAGATGAACGAATGCATCCCCGAAGTCGTGAAGGCCATGCGCGCGGCCCAGGAGGAAACGGGCCAGGGCAAGTTGTTCTCCGCCAACATTACGGCGGATGACCCGAACGAGATGATCGCACGTGCCAAGTACATCTTGAACCAGATGGGCCCGATGGCGGAGAATTGCGCCTTCTTGGTCGACGGCTACGTGGCTGGCGGCACTGCGGTGACCGTTGCGCGCCGCAACTTCCCGAAGCAATTCTGCACTACCACCGCGCCGGCCACGGCGCAGTGACCAGCCCGCAGACGCAGCGCGGGTACACCGCCTTCGTGCACACCAAGTTGTCGCGCGTCATCGGTGCCAGCGGCATCCACACGGGCACGATGAGCTTTGGCAAGATGGAGGGCGACGCTTCGGACAAGAACATCGGCTTCATGCTGCAAGACGACGTCGCCGACGGCCCCTACTACCGGCAGGAGTGGGAGGGCATGAAGCAGACCACCCCGATCATCTCGGGTGGCATGAACGCCTTGCGGCTGCCTGCGTTCTTCGAGAACCTGGGCCACTCGAACGTTATCCTGACGGCCGGCGGCGGGGCCTTCGGGCACAAGGATGGGCCGAAGCAGGGCGCTATCTCGTGCGCCCAGGGCGAGGAGTCGTGGAAGTTGTGGAAGGCAGGCACCTACGGCGACGTGAGCCTGTCGGACGGCGTCGTCGAGTACGCGAAGACGCACGAGGAGCTCAAGGGCGCGTTCTTGACGTTCCAGAAGGATGCGGACCAGATCTACCCAGGCTGGAAGGAGAAGCTCGGCTACACGGGCGAGTCCTCCGTCCAGGCGGCCAGCTTCAATTGGCAGAAGAAGGAGTTGGCCGCGGCGTTCGTTGGCGCCAGCAAGGCTCGCACAGCGAGCTCTGTGACCCGCCGGGCCCTGGACCAGTCGAGCCGCTACGCGGACCTCTCGCTGACGGAGGAGGACCTGATCAAGAACGGCCAGCACGTGCTGGTGGCCTACATCATGAAGCCCAAGGCGGGCTACGACTACCTGGCCACTGCGGCGCACTTCGCGGCGGAGTCCTCTACGGGCACGAACGTGAACGTGTGCACCACCGATGACTTCACTAAAACTGTGGATGCTCTCGTGTACTACATCGATCCTGAGAACGAGGAGATGAAGATCGCCTACCCGACGGCTTTGTTCGATCGCAACATCACTGATGGCCGCGCTATGATGTGTTCCGTGCTGACCTTGAGCATCGGGAACAACCAGGGTATGGGCGACGTCGACTACGGGAAGATCTATGATATTTACTTTCCGCCGCAGTACCTGCGCCTGTTCGACGGGCCGTCGTGCTGCGTGATCGACATGTGGCGCATCCTGGGCCGCGGCACGGTCGGCGGTGGCCTGGTGGTCGGCACAATTATCAAGCCCAAGCTGGGCTTGCAGCCGAAGCCCTTCGGCCAGGCGTGCTATGGCTTCTGGCAGGGCGGCGACTTCATCAAGAACGATGAGCCGCAGGGCAACCAGACGTTCTGCCAGATGAACGAATGCATCCCCGAAGTCGTGAAGGCCATGCGCGCGGCACAGGAGGAAACGGGCCAGGGCAAGTTGTTCTCCGCCAACATTACGGCGGATGACCCGAACGAGATGATCGCACGTGCCAAGTACATCTTGAACCAGATGGGCCCGATGGCAGAGAATTGCGCCTTCTTGGTCGACGGCTACGTGGCTGGCGGCACTGCGGTGACCGTTGCGCGCCGCAACTTCCCGAAGCAATTCCTGCACTACCACCGCGCCGGCCACGGCGCAGTGACCAGCCCGCAGACGCAGCGCGGGTACACCGCCTTCGTGCACACCAAGTTGTCGCGCGTCATCGGTGCCAGCGGCATCCACACGGGCACGATGAGCTTTGGCAAGATGGAGGGCGACGCTTCGGACAAGAACATCGGCTTCATGCTGCAAGATGACGTCGCCGACGGCCCCTACTACCGCCAGGAGTGGGAGGGCATGAAGCAGACCACCCCGATCATCTCGGGTGGCATGAACGCCTTGCGGCTGCCTGCGTTCTTCGAGAACCTGGGCCACTCGAACGTTATCCTGACGGCCGGCGGCGGGGCCTTCGGGCACAAGGATGGGCCGAAGCAGGGCGCTATCTCGTGCGCCCAGGGCGAGGAGTCGTGGAAGTTGTGGAAGGCAGGCACCTACGGCGACGTGAGCCTGTCGGACGGCGTCGTCGAGTACGCGAAGACGCACGAGGAGCTCAAGGGCGCGTTCTTGACGTTCCAGAAGGATGCGGACCAGATCTACCCAGGCTGGAAGGAGAAGCTCGGCTACACGGGCGAGTCCTCCGTCCAGGCGGCCAGCTTCAATTGGCAGAAGAAGGAGTTGAGCTGATCGTTCCCAGACCCATTAGATGACGCAACCGTTTCACGTATCCTGTTGGTCATGCGTATTTGATTTCCAGGTTTTCGTAATTCAGTTTCGATCTAATTTTGAGAGCTGAATATCCGTTTTCGAGTCGGCCAGCTTTCTCTGGGCAAGCGGTTGGCTAGCACTCAAGCCGTGTCTCGTAGGGCCAGCGTTATAAGCATGTCAGCGATCTGTGTGCAACGTGCACAGTAGTTGCGTCCTTTATCATTGTGAGGTAAGCTTTAGCACAGCATTTTTTCCGACTGCCCAGCTTCGTATTTGACGCGCCGAGGGCAAATCAGACCTCTGAAGAGGCGGGCGTTTGCCAGACGAGAAAAAAAGAGGCCAAGGCTTGGCTAATGTTTGCAACACCTGGCAGTTGCGCAGGCACTTACAGAACATGAGAAAGCGCGACAAGTGTAACATTTGGAGATGCAAGCACACGTGCGTTGCCACTGGAAGCTTCTGGCCGCGGCAGTGGCTCATCGACACTGGCGTCGCGGAGGACGGCTTTGTTTGCCAGCGGTGCGATGCCGGAGTGCCAATAGCTCCGTTCCGTATGCGTTGGTTGTGCAGCGGCAGTGCAGATGTTGGAGCTTGCGTGGACGCGCGGGACTTGGAGGATGCCACCGCGAGGGGTCACGAGAGCGTGCTTCGCTGCTGGCGTCGTGGCCTGGTGCCGGCGAGCTTGACGCAGTCGCGAACGCCACCAGTGGCCGATGAGTTCTGAAAGTTGAGCTCTGGTGACGTACTACGCATTTACTCGGGCGACCTGTGCTTGCGGCGGGCATGCTTGGCGTATGTATTCTCTGCTGCGGGCGGGCATGAGGCTCGGGCTGCTGACGAGGTGACCGATTGGCTGGAGGGCAAGGCGGGCAACTTTTCAGGTTGTTTCCAGGCGGTCAACCGTGCCGAGCTGTTGGCGCTCGTGCAGTACTTCGATAACGATGGGCGTGAGCTGCACTACGTTGCCGACTCGATCTACGTAGTGTGAGGCTGGCAGAGGCGCGGGGGAATAGCGCCGCGGAGCTATCAAGACCTACGGGTGTGTGGACGCGCTGCTGGAGGGGCAGCGCTGTGAGCTGGTCATCAACAATATGGAGAGTCACGCCACCGAGGGTGATGCCAGCAGCAGGGGGCAATTCTGCACTTACACCTCGGCGCGGCGGCGCATAAACTCGCCGAACTGGTATTAGCGGCCAGTGTGATGTCGCCAGAGAGCGAGGTTCAAGCGGTCCCTGGCCATGTGGGACCGGTTCGCGGCCGTCCTCGAGGATGTTGGCGAGAATCGGGGGGCGGCCAAGAGGGGGGTTATGACTGGGGTGGTGGTGGATATCATGGCGGGGGCCATGGTATCTCCCAAGACTCGAGGGCGACCCTTCTCATTTCAATACGTCCCCGGACCCCCCTGGGCCGCGCACGTGCCGTCGGTTCTGGAGGTCGGAAAGGGGTGTGGCATAAAGGGGTATGGTGCAAATCGTGGAAATCGCGGTGCTATCTGCGATCAATGACATCGCCAGAGTCCCCTTTACACAAAATTAGCACCACATCCCTTTATACCGTACCCCTTTCCTACCTCCGATTTGCGCCCTCCCCTCTTGGGCGCCCCCCGCTCTTGGAAGCCCCCCGATGTTGGCGAGGCGGGCCCGAGGGCGCCGCGGCCAGGGACGATCCGGGTCGCGAGCGGCCGCGGGCCCCCAGCCCGAACGAGCCTGCGCGCCGCGGGGCACGGGCCACGTGGAGGGTTTCTGCGATGGGCTTAGGCGACACGTCCTCCTCCTCCTCCTCTTCCTCCTCCTCCTCCTCCTCCCTCCTCCTCCTCCTCCTCCTCCTGCTCCTCCTCCTCCTCCTCCTCCTCCTCTCCCTCCTCCTCCCCCTCTCCCTCCTCCCCCTCCTCACCCTCCTCCTCCTCCTCCTCCCCCTCCTCCCCCTCCTCACCCTCCTCCACCTCGGGTCGCATACGGCCCCGGGGGAAACCGTGCAGGGCCACGCGGTCGCCACAGCGGCGCGGCGGCGCGCCTTCGCTGCTCGGCGTGTCTCCCGGGAACGCGGGGCTCGAGGGCGGGCGACGAAAGCTAGCTGTGCGCATCCACCGCTCCCTGGCCAGGCCCAGCCTGAGCCCACGAGTCGAGTAGACGCCCTCCTGGCCAAGCCAGGAGGGCGTGGCGCACACGCCGCTGCCGAGTTCAGGATGGGCCTGGCCGGGGAGCGGTGGCTACGCCGTGCAGATCTCGTCGCCCTCGAGTGAGCACGTGCACGGCTGTGCTGGGAGCGTCGTGTGGCGTGGGGCCAGCGGCCACTGCGGGCCCTGGGCCTGCCGTCGGGACGCGCCCTGCCCCAGGGCAGGCGGCAGCGGGGGGGGGGGCCGACCTCCGGGTCCCTTCTCGCGCCAGCCTCCTGGGACGGCGCGCGGCGAGGGAGGGCGGCGTGTGGAGGGGGGCTGGCGAAGCCTCGCCTCCTCCCGGGGCGACCGCTGAGCCAGGCAGGGCGCCAGGCCCTTCATCGCTTGACCCCCGGGCCTGCGGACCGGCTTCAGCCGCGAGGCGCGGGCGCGGCATGCGGGGCGCCTGCAGCGGGAGGGTCGGGGAGCGCCAGGGCGGTGAGGCTGGCGCCCCGTCCACGGAACATGGGCCTGACTGCCGGGCCGGCGGCTACCGTCGCCGCCCCGTCGCCGCCTCGTCGCCGTCGCCGTCCCGTCGCCGCCTCGCATGGGTTTGCACCGCATATTTTGATTCCACCGCGTAGATTGCACCAGTAGATTGTGTTCTGCCCCATCGTCCATCCTGAATATGAACTCATACCATCTCAGCCCGACCAGTACACGCCCCCTGCCATCCTCTGCAGAAAATACTATACGCGCCCACCCGTTTATCAAGCATCCGACATTTTCAATAATCCCTTGCGAAACATGGGACGAAGTGCACATGCGCGCGTCGTCGCGCGCGGATGCCGTAATCCTGCAACAGAACCATTGGTTTCCTAAGGATTTATAAACCGAGCGTCCAAACAACATCAAAAACGTAGGGTTTCGCAATTCAGATTTTCAAGAAAAACTTGTGCGCGCGCTCTTGCGAATTCTTGAGGGAACCATCGGTTTTCAACATGTCCAGAAAAAACAAACAGGCTTCGCGCGCGCATGGCGAGATCGTTCGAACGCCCTTTCGCGCGTGCCATCGCGAGAATCCTTTGCAACAAACGGGACGAAGTGCGCGCGCGCGTTGTCGCGCGCGCATGCTGACATCCGTCAAAAACCTTTGGTTTCGTAGCGATTTCAAAACCGAGGGTCCCAAACACATGGTTTCGCAACATCCGTTCTCGAAAAAAACGTGCGCTCGCCCTCTTGCGTTGTGTGGAAAAAACACAGCAGTCATGGAATTCTGCCAAACGGGCCTCTCGCGCCGCGCGTGCCGGGGGGACACGGGTCGTGTCAGATAATACCATGTGGGCCATTCGCACGTCGGCTGCGCGCGCATGTCAAACTCCTTTCCGAAACCTTCATCACCGACGCGAGGATGCCGTCATCGTTGTCGGCGTGATCAGCATCGGCGCCCGCACTGGCCGCGCGTTCGTCATTGTCAACATCGTCACCAGCATCGCTAGTATCATCATCGTGTCTACCGTTGTCGACATTGCCATAATACCGCGCCCGCCCCAATCACCGACTCGCAGTGAAGTGCCCGTTGGGATGTGCCCAGCGGTCAGCGCCACCGCGGCCGCGTCGGTCGCGCCAAGCTACCTGGCCGCTGCGCGCGCGTGCTTGGGTTGGCGCGCCCGCACAGATGCACCAGCCAACGCCAAGCATGCATCGCCATCGCAGCCGCATGGGTTTGGCAAACCAGGTTGCGGGTGGATGGGTGGGACGTTTGCAAGAACATGGGGTGTGTCAGCTCGTTTGCCAAAACCAATTGCGCCATACATTGCGCCACATATTTCGCACCACAGCTTCCGACACATAGCGTGCAACACCTGGGTTGCATCACGTATGGTACACCACGGCAATTGCACAACATCTAGTGCACGACGAAGAGGGCACGTAATATATCGCAACACATAGGTTGCACCACATAGATTGCACCGCATTTATTCCACCACAAAAATTGCACCACATATATCCGTCCATATCGATTGCACAATATAGATCGCCAGGAACACACTGTTTGGGGTCCACGCGGGCGTGAATAAATGCAATTTTTCCGTGTCGCACCCCCAGACGCGCCGGTAAGACGGACCGGGCGTTTCGCCCCAGATTTTCTTCGCCACTTATGATCTGGGGTGGTCATGCTTCTAATGGGGCTCTCGCCTTAGCACTGCGCGCACTCGTTTTGCAAGCTTGTGCAGGAGTTGCAAGGATGGAAAAGGGGGCCGTTTACACATTGGAGCTCTCGCCTTCACGCCGCGCGCATTCGTTTTATAAGTTTTCAAATGCGAGAGGATCGAGCACATGCCGTGTGCCGTACGCGTTGCAGTCACAAGGATGGAGTGGGTTACTTTCAATTCGGACTTGTCGCCATACCTCCACACACATTCGGTTCAAACGCCTTTGAACCGTTACAGGAATTGAGAGCGGGCCCTTTTCAACGTGGAGCTCTCGCCATAGTGCCGCGCGCACTCGTCGTAAACATTGCATCTGTTACACGGGGAGCGCGGTTTCTTTTGAACATGGGGCCCTCGCTTGAGACCTCCTCGATCTGTACGACCAGGAACCTGAAAGTTGTTAGCAGCTGTATTGATGGAGGATGGTTCCTTTTCATCGTGGGGCACGCGCTTGGGACTTCTGGAAGCTTTTGGCCCGAAGTGTAAAGCTGTGCAACATTCGGGGGTGGTTCTTTTGTCAGGCCCGGGACCTCGCTGGACATCTCGTCGGCTTGCATGATCATGCCTTTTCGCATTCCTGGTTCCGCCCTCGAGGGATCCAGCACATCTGCTCTTCTCAACCAGGGGCTCTCGCATGCACTGCAGGCCCAGCGGGTGCCGGTCTCTCAAGGGGGCGCCTTCTCGATGTGGGACGGAAGGCTTGTGAGGACATGCGGGGAGGGGGCTTTGGTGTATTGCAGCCTGCATGCATGTTGTGTTTGCTCTGGTCTTTCTCTTCCTCCCTTTTCTCCTCCTCCTGCTCCTCCTTCCCCTCCTCGGCCGAGGGTCGTTCAGGGTGGGACACAGCCCAACGCGCTAAACCAACGGTTCGCGCTTTCGGTATAGAGCTTTTGTTCTGTTTCGTCTCAAGCGGCCTGTACACATTCTACTGTATGCAAGTGGTATCGTGCTCTAAAGCGCGCGTGAACAAATCAGCAGTGTATCCGCCGTTCTAGCTCCTCTTGCTCCAGGTCCTGCTGCTGCTCCTCCTGCAGCTCCTCCTGCTGCTCCTCCTCGCCCTCCTCCTCCTTCTCGTCCTCCTCCTGCTCCTCCTCTTTGTCCTGCTCCTGCTCATCCTGCTTTCTCTCCTCGTGACCGTCCTGCTGCTCGAGCTGCCTCTGCTGCTACTCCCCCCGCCGACTTCTTGCGTCGTCCCCCGCCCCCCCTCCCGCCGCTGCCAGTCGACGGGGTGCCGATGACCCCACGCCTGGGCCTCGGATGACCCGCCTTCGCCGCCCATCGGGCCCGGCCGACCCGCCCGACCCTTCTCGCGCGTCTCGTTCCAGCCCTTCTTCCTTCGCTCTCCATGGGTGCCCGCTTCTCGCTCGAGGAGCTGCTGGGGACGGGGAGGAGGAGGAGGATCGAGGAGGAGGAGGA